AGAAATTTTGTGCATTGGGTCTCTAGTATCTAAAAAATTATAATGACTAATTCATTGCCTTAGTCTATGTGTCTAAACTCAATATGATTCTGACTCTAAAAGCACTTGGCTAGTGTTGGTTAGTTTCTATTGAAAATGCATACAGGGTTCTGATTCATATGATTTTTAGAAGTCTTTTTTTTTTTTCCTTAAATCAGCACATCATCAGTGTTTCATATGCCCTGAATATCTTTAGCTATTTTCGTTATACTAATAAATACAACTTTGAAAAAATTTAAATTGTTCTATTATGTTTGATATTTTGAAGCTGTGGTTTTTAATTTTTTCATTGTTACCAGTTTTAATATTGACTTATTTTTCACTTAATTCTTTGATGTCAATGAGTTATTTCACACTGGGAAATAGATATAAGTCACTATATTCACTATAAAATGTTTTCTTCCAGTGAAGTGAGCCCTGGTAAATATAATTTGAGAATAATGTAACTGTAGGGTAAATATAATTTTTTTTATATCTAACAAGATACTTCACAAATTAGCACTGATCTGACTTCCTATGTTATTTAAATGCATGCATTGTGTCAGCCATTGCAGTAGGAGTTGATAAGAACATTTCTGTACTTCAGTAGGGCACCATTTGGTAGGAAAGTTGGATACAACATGTTACAGCCATACCAGATCCTGTGGTAGTTCTAAAATATTCTCTATCATATATTCATTTTTCTTCATCTAAGGCCATACCTTACTTTCCTTCTCTTAGTCTTCTATGAGCCAACCTTATATGTGTGAGGATTTTCTTCTTCTTTAAGATCAATAAAGATGTTGTTAGATATGTCCCTGGTAAAGCCTACCTTTGGTCTCAACAGGTAATATTATTATTTTATAGAATGTTCCATAGTGTGTGTGTGTGTGTGTGTGTGTGTGTGTGTGTGTTTTGTTTTTCCCATTGATATTCAGAGAGTGGAAGTTGGAGGACTGGGGAAAGGAGGAGAAAGGGAGGAGAGAGACAGAGAAACAATTTGAGGGAGACACATCAATGAGTTGCCTCTTGTACACACCTTGACTTGGGCTGGGAATTGAACCTGCACCCAGTTACATACCTTGACAGGGAATTGAACCCATGACTCTTTGGTGCCCAGCCCATTGCTCTAACCACTGATTGATGCCTGCCAGGGCAATTGTATTTCTTTAATTGTTTCATTCACACTTATTTATAAGTTCCATTTTATGGTTCCATTATCTGTAGTCTAATCTTGCTGTTTATTGTCCTTCTTATTCACACATTTTCGTGTGTGCTATTGATATTGTATTTTTAACACATAATCATTGAGGTGTTAGTTAAAGAAATCTCTGCAGCCTCAGTTGAAAGCATGTTCTTTAAGAACAACTTAATATTGGATCTACTGAAGGACTCCAGTGGTATCACTAGCCAAGGATGATTTTTTCCCTTAATGTAGTATTTTTGTCATCTTCCTTTGCTAGTGAAAGGCAGCTTTATTCTAGGATACCCTGTGACTGAGATTGCTGTTTTTACTGATCTTGATTGAATGTGGTAACCCAATTTCTAACTTTTCATCTTAGGCTGGCCCATTAACCTCATCCCTTATGGCTATAAAATTTAGCTCCTAAGGGTACAAAGCAATAACACTTCTTTACTCCCTAAGCTTTTTTCATTGCTTGGTCTTCAGGTCTTTGTATTTTGATCCCTAAGTAATAATTCTCTCTCTTGTAAACCTATGTTTGCACCTAAAAAATAGTTGTTATAGTTTCAACTAACATTTTTATACCAGGAGAGTGACATGTCACAGCTTCTTATCTTTTACTTTGAGCTTTACCCATAAAAGCATTTTTGAAATCTTAATTTAATTACTTTTCAAAAGCTATTTGCAAAATAGAGTAAATATACTTTTGCACAAATTCTATATAAAACTTTAAATGACAATTTTCCTTATGCATATTTTAAGAATATTTTAAATCTATTATCTTTATATAATCATACTATATATATATATATATATATATATATATATATATATATATATATAATAAATTGTTGCTAGTTTAGGAAATGGATGTAATTCCAGGTTAGTTAGACTAAAAACATTTAATGTAGAATAATGTTGATTAAAAATAACATGAATATAAAAGAGAAATAATATTTCCTTGACATGTTTACTGGAAGATCAAAAAGAAAAACATAGGCTTGGAGGATCAAAAGAAAAAAGAAATATTACAAATTATTTCCCTGTTCAGCTATCAGGTGTCATGTCTGGTTTTAAAAATCTAGGATTATTATAAAGATATTTTCTTAGTACTACTTTGTGCTTCCTACAAAATGAACATAAAAACATTTAATATGATTGTCTGTAAAACCAGAGAATAAATGTGTGTGTATGTGTGATTTTTTATTTTATTTTAAAACCTGAATGGATATTTCTCCAAATTGAATGGTTATTTTTAATAAAACCCCTTAGTTCTTTACTTAGACTACTACTAAATGCACTTCTTTAAGAACATCTTGAGAAATTTGGTCTCAAATATAAGTTGTCAATGATATTTTGGTATTCACTTCTCCATTGAATATACTTTTTTTTCATATCTGGATTTTGCTTGTAATCTTGTGAACATAAATTTGTCCTATCATTTATTAAGTGAAAATATCATACAAGATAAAAGGAGTAATAAAATAAATGTTATGGCTTTTTTCTAGAGACCTCCTTCTTTGCAAGATTCTTTGTATGAAGTTGATAATTATTTTTCATTTTAACTGAATAGATATTTATAGAACATTTTTAATGCACACAATGTTGATGTAGAAGACTTTTAAATTCTTACTAAAATTCATATATTTCATTCAATTTATTTAATTTTTCTAGTAAACTTGTCAAAAATTAAATTTGTTTTATTTCACATTATGTTTTTCCTGGTAATCCTTTCCAGGATAACAGAGACCATCACTTCCATTCTTAGTGTTCAAAATTTATTTTTTTTCTGTGATAAATTTTTATGAATTGACCTTTCTGTAACCAAGAGCTGACAAATAATGAAGAAATATTAAAATAAAATTAAAAAAATAGGTAAGAAAAGTTTCTGAACACAGAAATACAGAAAGGAAAACCCAGGAGGGCACTTAATATTTAATGTAATAAAATATGTGGAATGAGGGATGATAAGTGTACAACTTATTAACTCATCATCCATTAATAATTATAAAGCTATTTGAAAAGTATGAGAAAATGTAAGCAAGTTTTATGCAGACAGAGGTCAGACCTCCTTATTTATTGTATCCTTGATGCTTAGTATACAATTTGGCATTTAAAAGACTCACACTAAATATGGTTTATTTATTAAATAAATGCAGTATTAGTAAAAAAAAAAAAAAAAATTAGAGTGTAGGAAAAATCTACATTTCAGAACATCAGTAATTTGGACCTGTGATTAAAATTTTCAACTGGCTTGTGCACAATTTAATATAAAAATATCCATATATACACACAAAAGTAACAACACACAGATATTATATATATTATATTTATGTGCTATATGCACTTGACATATTCTTTAAATTGATCAAAGTTCTTGTGTTATTGTTGAGTTCTTTTTGGATAATTTTGAATTTATTTATTAAAAACAATGAAAATATACACAAGATTTTTTTCCACTGATTTTTTTTTTTTTTTTTTTTACAGAGTTGGTCATTCAGTGCTGATATACTTCTTTTGGCTTCTTGAATGCCACATTTTTAAATTTTTCTTTTATTCACTGGTTGTTCCATTTCAGGCCTTTCTTTGTGGGTGTTATCTGCCCCCACATTTTTTTTCTTTCTTTTTTTAAGGGGAAAACATTATATATATTTACGAAGAGGAAGGGAGAGGGATAGAGAGTTAGAAACATCAGTGAGAGAGAAATACCGAACATCGATCAGCTGCCTTCTATGCACCCCCTATGGGTATGTGCCCGCAACCAAGGTGCATGCCCTTGACTGGAATCGAACTCGGGACCCTTCAGTCCACAGGCCCATGCTCTATCCACTGAGCGAAACTGTTTTCAGCCAATCCTGGTCTTTCTTGAATTCTAGACTAGTATATTCCACTTAATGTCTGCATTTAGATCGTTCAAATTTTTCGAAATTAACTGCCTGATTTTTGTCCTGGCTGGTATGGGTCAGTTGTTTGGAGCATTGTCCCATACATTGGAAGGTAGCAGGTTTGATTCCTGGTCACATATCTGGATTTCAGGTTTGATCTCTTGATCAGGGAGCACATTGGAGGTGACCAATCTATGATTCTATCTCACTCTCTCTACTTTTCTCTTTTCCCACTTTCCCTCTCCATAAATATTAGTGAACACATTCTCTAATTTTGTATGGATTTCTAAATATATTTTTCTATATCAAAGATAAAATTACTTTGTACATAACTTTCTAATTATTTACAAATCTTAGAAATTAATTTATGCATATTCTACTGTAACAGCAGACATATTAAAATGATGTATTTTGAAGTGAGGATTAAAAAAATAATAACTCCCTGATTTTCTCCTCCCCCAAAATTTGTCCCTCACAAAGCTTTTTATCTCAGTTGATGGAAATTTTAATCTTCCAGGTTTTAGGACAAAACATGTAATCATCCTTGATTCCTATTTCCCTCTGAGACTGCTCATCCAATCAACCAGAAAATCTTCTGGCATCTATACTCAAAATTCTCCACAGGACTTGTACGCATGCATATAAGCCTAACCTATGGACACAGACAATAGGGGGTGAGGGCATGAGTGGGGGAGATGGTTGGGTAATGGGGGGATAAGGACACATATATAATACCTTAATCAATAAAGGAATGTAAAAACTGTTATCCAGAAAACTGATTAGATTTTAATAATAAGACTTTTCAGATACAAGTTACATATAGAACTCCATCAGAATGTGGTAAAAGGGCCAAAAAGAATAAGTATGTTTACTTGGAATATGTCATCACTTAAATGTATTCCTTCTGTTTTCAGGAAAGGCCTATGCTCCAGAATTCTATTATGATACCTACAATCCTGTGTGGCAAAACAGACACCGTGTTTATTCCTATAGTCTACAGTGGACACAAATGAATCCTGATGCAGTGGATCGGATTGTGGCATACCGGCTGGGTATTAGGCAGGTGAGAAATTTAACTGGTGGCTCTTTTTTTCTTTTCTTTGTGAAGACATTGTTACTATGGTTAGCTGCCATAAAGTTTTAATTATTTTCATGAATTTCTAAATATATTTCCCTGTATAAAAGATAAAATTACTCTATACATAACAGTTTATTTACAAATCTTGGAATTTAATTTATGCATCTTCTACTATGACAGCAGACATATTAAAATAACATCTTTTGAGACTTCAAATCCTTCATCACTAGATAGGCTATAGAAATGGCATGTTATAATTGCTATGAAATAAACATGCAAGGTGTTCTATCACTTACTTATACTGTATAATTATTTGTATTATTTGTAAGAAGCTAGAAAACTTATATTTTATACTCAATGTAACTGATAGATGACAAGTAATGAAGAAATATGAAAATCTAGTATGATTGATTTCCTCAGCAGTCTAAGATTATAGCTTATGAGAAAATATTATATTTTTTCAAATGTACTGCTATTAAATTCAGTTATTCTTTGTTGGTATAACTATTTTTGAAATTTAAATGTAGATCTTTACAATGCTTTCTGTTTAGTTTATTATTTAGGGTTACTTTTAGCATAGCAAAACATTTTTGAAGATTTATCTATTAGCTATATCTCACAACTTTGCATTATCCATAGATTTGTAAGGTATGCTTTATACTTTATTATGGAAATAACAAAATAGCATTTTGAGTTTGGACAGTAGAAAGAAAAAATATTGTTTGGAGAGAAACTGATTAACCATCAGTAATCCACTCAAGTACACTGTCATAAAAGCAATGTTTTTCTGTTTCACATTTATAATAAAAGACAGTATAAAATATGTACTTTATTCCAATTAAGCAACATATTATGCTGAGTATTTTTATTCTACATATCTGATAATCAGAAACTAGATCTTTTCCTGGTGAATACATCTGTCATTTGATCATCACTGCTTCCTTGTCTAAGTATTCCCAGGTCACTGACAGCAGAGAGCAATGGGTCTTCAGAAACTTTCTGTTAGTTCTCATTTACTTCAGCCCCTAAGTAAATCTGAGTAAGTCTTAAATCCATATCAAAAGTGTTTTAATTTATTGATAAATTTCCTTGATAGAGAATTTCATCATTAGTTTATCACTTTCTTCCTCACTTACATTCATTGGAATATCTGGTAACTGCCCATGGCACCCTGTGTGCTGAAGGGCTGCCTGATGTAAGTCTTCATAATTTGCACAACTGTGCATCGATCCCTTCCTTTAACATCCCTCAAAGCTTTTGCTTCCAATGTGTCCATTGTGTATGCCAGTTACCTTCTCTGTAATTCAATTTTAACAGAAAAGTAGTTACCATTGGAGTTTCCCTATTAAATGGACAGATATTAGGAGAATTAGACTTCTCCAAAGCAGAATCAAACTAATCAATTCCTTCCTTCTCATTCATATCTTGTATTCATTATTAATAAACTACCTTCTGTAATGTATGCTGCTAGTACTGCTGTTATTTTTCATTAACAGTTTCTCTCTTTGATTTTTTCGTTGCTAACATAAGCATCTCTAACGTCGGTCTTTATGTGTCTGATCATAAATGTATGCAATGACACAAATTTTCCAATTGCTGTGTTCTTCCTGGTGAACAAATTAGATAATTTTTCATTGTTCTATTATTTTAGAATAAATTATATGTGTGTGCTCATGTGTATATAATCTTCTCTTTCCTATGTTTTGTTAAAATTATAAATTCTGGACACATCTGGTCTCCAATTCTAGCTAATCTATTCTTAGCATTTGTAAACTATATAATCTTGAGCAGATTTTCAAACGTGCCTAAACCTAGTTTCCTACCTGGTAAATTGAAGATAAAAATCATACCTATTGAGCAATGGGAGAGTAGAGTGGAATACATTCATTACTTTTCCCATAGGCCAGGTTCCCTTTACATGGCACTCTTTGCATAAACCTCTGTTGAAAGCCTTGTACTCACCTGCCAGGTTGTGTAAGGATTAAAAAAAAGAATGCATTTTAAGAACTTAAGAGGTCTACAATTTTCATTTCAGTTTTATTTAGTGCACTATATATTCTAGGCCTAAGTATTATTCCAAGCTATGATTAAAAAAACATAATTTGTAGATATTTTTTCACTCTTTTATTTTTACTTTAAACCAATTGTCCTTCATAATATCCATTTTACTGATTTACATTTTTCTCTTCCACTTTGAGACTTAGTGTCAAGCCATATTAATTATATCTGTATATCTGCTGATAATACTGTTTTTTCCAAGTTTGTGAGATTCATGTATCCACCAGAGGAAAAAATATTTCTGGTGTTATAAAATATATTCTGGGCAGGAAGGTGTTGTTTGTGAATGTAACCTAAGAACAGAAAGAGCATTGCACGCTTCTTTTTCCCCCACTACCAAATTCTTTACACTTAACCCTCACATGAAAATCTTATAAGCAAAGAACCTTCAGTACAAAACATTTCTTTTGAAGATCCCTCTATATAACAGTTTGTGATGATAGGGCAAAAACATTTTAGACAATGAAACTTATATAGTTCTTTAAGAATATTCCCTATAATAATAGGGGGGAAAGGTACTTATGTAAAATAGGTTATTTTTCTATATTATTTTGAAAAATTTAGATTCCTTTTTTCTAAGGTGTGTACATTTAGCTATCAATATTGTTTTAAGACACAATCACTTTTAAATTCTGATCTGATGTTCATTGCAATAATGATTTTATTTTATACTAGAGGTCTAGTGCACGAAATTCATGCACAGGGTGTGGAGTGGGGGCGTGGTCTCTCAGCTCGTCCTGAACCCTCTCCAATCTGGGACGCTTGGGGGGATGTCTGATGCCTCTAGCAATCTGGGACCTCTGGCTCCTAACCACTTGCCTGTCTGCCTCCCTGAACACCCCTAACTGCTTTCCTGGTGGCCTGATCACCCCTAACAGCCTCTGCCTTGCCCTGCACCCAGGACCAGGGCTTCCCTCACTCTGGCCAGCTGCAGGTACCCATGGCTACATGGCTTTCCATGGGCCACAGCCGCAGGCACCACGGACAATGGTGCAAGCAGCTTGTCCCTCTCCTGGGTGCAGCTGCAGGCACAGCTGCTGGTGCCTGGGACTAGGATGGGTGACTTATCGCTATCCGTGGCCACAGGTTCAGGCACAACCACTGGCACCCTGGACCTTGGGGCATGCAGCTTGTCCCTCTCGCGGGCTGTAGGCCTGGCTGCTGGTGCCCAGGACCACAGGGCGTGCAGCTTGTCCCTTTCTTGGGCCACAGCCTAGCTGGTCCCCCTTCCTCTTTCCCCAGTGTTGAGTGTCTGAGATCGTACGCCATGATAACATATTAGCTCCTTATTATACAGGATGCGTATGGCCTTTATCATCTCCCAAGCTATCTCAGAATCTTGAATCAATGAGCTTTTTAATGTAACCAACATATGTTGGATGATGTTTAAGTAAACAATGTTTGAAAGGTTATCTAAGCAACATGTTTAAAAAATGGATATTTTCCCTAATAATATTTTATCTTTGGTTATGAAACCAAGTTTTCTTCTATGGATTATTAATAATTTATGTTACACCTTTCATTTTAAAGTCTTGTTTCAGCCTATATTTTTATTTTGAGCCTATATGTCTAAATAATGTTTTTCTATCATCAAAATATTTAGGATATCTAGTGCAAAGTACCTTTCCTTTTAATATAAAATATGGCATTAATTATACATTTTTTTATTACATGATGTCTGAAAAACAAATTTGATCCTTGAAGACTAATGGGTGAATTCTAAGCAGACTGACATACCTTGATGTGGGGTATGGGAGATGAGAAGAGATAAACCAACAAACTTATGTACATATATGCATAGCCCCTGGACACAGGCAATAGGCTAGTGAAGACCTGTAGGGATGGGTAGGGGCTGGGGGGGGGGGGGGGATGGAGGGTGAATGGGAGATATCTGTAATATTATCAACAATAAAAATATATTAAAATAAATAAATAATCCTACTTTATTTTTAATCTAGAAACTGTAAGAACTTTATTACCTATTCTTAATTAAAATCACTGCTGTGTTATTAAACCCACAGCTGGAGGAGTTGGTAAACCAAACCTAGTATTTATTGAGCTTTCCAGTAAATTTAGCTGACTCTTGGTTAAAACTTTATGGTCGATATTTAAATATGTTGAGGAAAATTGTCTCAAAATTTGAGTATTGGCTTACACACTTTTCTTAAAAGTTGTTGCAGTGTATCTAGGAAAAAGCATTAGAGCTCTAGAATCACTGCTTAAGAAACTTAAAAAGAATGAATATATCATGTGAAGTTAAAAAAATTAATGTGTCAAAAAAGTTTCCTCAAAATCATGTCTGTAAATTAATTATTTTGAGCTCAGCTAAGCAATTGTTTAATCTCCTTAGACAGCTACTAGCCTCTCAATTATATGCATCATTTGTTGCTTAACAGGAAAGAGAAAAAGGTTATTTGAATGTCTACTTTTCTTGGTATCTAATGAATTAAGAAACCAGAGAAACTATTTCTAAATTATCTGAATATACCAAACAATGTAAACATAATTTGACTTTATTTAAAACATACACAAGTATAGTTTCTAATAATAAAGTATTTTAGAATTTTATACAGTTTTATTTTTATACTTTTCCAAAGAGACAGAATAGATGTGATTGTTTTTACTGTCATCTTTGGAAAGTAGGATATTTTATTGAATAAAATGCCTTAACTTTCCCTGTACCTGTGGTCTTAAATCCTGATATATATTATAATGCTTAAAATTATCATATTCGTTTATTCACTAGTCAACCAAACTTTGAGTATATTAATTATATAGTAATTACCAGTATTTAAGAAAGAAATATTGTCCTCAATGCTATATTGAAATAGGAATATGTGCAAAATGCAATAGAAACAGGTGTGGGAGCAGTTAATACTGCAAATTGGTGCAGTAGGCTTAAGTGACATGATCACCAAGATGGAGGC